GAACTGAAAAACCCAAGAGTTTTTGTTCCATGATATGATAAATAGATCTCTGATTCGTATGACATTGACATTTTCCAATGATGTTTTTTTTTTTTTTAATTTATTTTCTTTGCATTCACAGCTAGTGCCCTGTTAGACTTGGATACAAATGCCTTATTTGAGAAACACAGGATTGAGGAAATCAGGAAGGTTGAGAAATCCACCAGGTATATGTGCATCATTATTACAGTGGTCGCAAACTAGATTCGTATTATGGGTAACTTGAAACTTCCTTGGAAAAATTCCAATAACCCCATCAACTTCCCCAAGATGGTTGAAGCGATCGCAAATAAATATTGTGTATGAATAATTTACAACTAGTTTGGAATTTGAAAACAGACAACAACTTAGCCATATGAAAAATAATAATAATGAGGATAATGAGATGTAGCAAATCGTTTTCATATCATTTGATAGCGCCAATAAGGAAGTCCCTCTCTATATATATATATTCATAGGGACTTTCCTAGAAAGTTTGATAACTCCTCATATGAATCTTGTTTGTACCCACTGTATTATTTATTGTAGACTAGTTCCAGTCGGTGTTATTTTTTATCATTATATTAAAATGAGTGAATGTTACTTTTTTTGTGAAATTGTTGGTGTTATACGAGAAATCACCCAATGTTCAATTCTGCAGGAGAACCATTACTCTTATGAAAAATATTCATAAAATGCGAACACTATGTTTCATGAAGACATGAATAATTGTTATATAAAATATTCATAAATGTTTTATAAATTTCAAATGACTGTTGAAAACAACTTGACCAATCACTTTGCCTTAGCAGATTCATACTGCCCATATGTAATTCAGGAAACCTGCAAAGGCTTGTGGGTAATGGTAATGGGCATTATAAAAAGCTTCTATTCTCGGGGGCTGAGCTACGTCACAAATGTTCCATGTTGCTAAGACGCGCACCACTGTACCATGTATTTCTATAGGCTCTGTGCGATCTGCTGTCGAACGCCGGTCAAGCCGGTGAAAATTCAAGAAAACAACACAAACTTTACTTTGAAGTTATCCTGAACAACCGAATTTATATATGTTACACACGTAGGGCTAATCTTGTTACACTGTTCAGGGGGGTCTCAACAACCATCCCAAAGTACTGTTTTCTTCGAGTTTTTTGCCCTTGTTTTGACAGAGATGGTTGCCCGGCGGCGAAAATGCCCAGATGTCCGGCCCCGAGTATAGCTAATGAAAGTTTCTTCTTTGGTTTTAAATCAAGTGCTCTTCCTAGATAATTGTTCAGACAGTGTTGTTTGTACTGATCCTGGAATATTCTAGCTGGCGAGCATTTTCACTGCCTGGCAACCATCACTGATGAAAACAGTGATCAAAAACCCTCAGAAAACTGTATTTTGTGCTAGTAGTATAACAAGACTGCCCCTACATGTGCAATTATATAAAATTTGGTCATTCGGGAATGCCTGTATTTTAGCTGTTTTCATGATACAGTGGTGTGTGCCCTAGCAACATAAAACGTGTGATGTAGATCTGCCAAGAATTTATCGAATCCAAGTTAATGGCTCTACTTGTGTGTATTTTTCAGATTTCAAATTGAAGAAAAAGAAGGAAGATCTGCGACAGATGGTCGGGTAAGTCCAACTCTTTATTTTAAGTTTTCAAAAATTATTTAATACTTCATAAGGTTTGAGGGATGAATTGGCAATAGTCCTGTTGATAACCACTTTAATGAATGAAAACTGGTTGGTCTTTTGGACAATCATGAAAATAATCCAGAAATCACATTATATCCAATGGAATATTATCATAATAACATTTTTGCTTAGAGAAATTAGTTTTTAATATGTTTTTGATGAGGTGTTTGAAAAATTGTTTTCTATGACGAACCTTTTTGGCAAAATAAACCTGCACAAATTTTGTTCAAAAATATTAATCAAGTGCTGTAGCTATTGAGAAAATGTTGTCTATTTTGGTTCAAAATTAAAAAGATATTATAGAAAAATACATAAAAATTTGACGTTAGTGGGAACAAATATCATATTCAAAGGGAATATTTATAAAAGAGTAGGGAGAATTTTACTTGTTCAGGGGAAAAAATGATATGTGGATTTGATAGTACTAAGTTTCCATGAAATAGATTTGCTTATTCTCAGCTGATTCAGAAATACGTTGATATGAATATGAGGTTGTAACTTCAAAGTATGTGCAAAGGCAGTATGACGATCATATCACAAGATAGTCAATGTTATCCTGAACTGCCTGAGTTACGTGGTACATAGTCACATTTGATGTAAACAAATTCATTGTAGGTGACAGAGTTTACCCCAATGTTGGAACAAGTGTAAAGATGTTTTTTTTCTGTTTACAGAATGGTAAATTCTATTGTTTTCAGTATTAGATGTATGTTAGTCATCTGCTTTTTCACTTTTCCAATTTCTGATGTCTGTGATTGTTCTTCAGTGAAAGGTACAGAGACTTGATAGAAGCAGCTGATACAATTGCTGACATGGGACGTTGTGCTGAAAATGTATGTCCAATATTTTATATTTATGATTCAATGAATGAATGATAATAACAATTTCTGAGATTTAAGCCAGATGACATGTTTTTTTTTTGTTTTTTTTTATTTCATCAGATTGTGTCTGCTGTACAA